GCCAACGATGCGTGAACTTTGCAGCCTCCCGGGGTATGGTAGTTCGAAGTACCTTTTTTCCCCGCAAGGATATCCACAAAGCCACCTGGAGATCACCTGACCAACACACAGAAAACCAAATCGATCACGTTCTAATCGACGGGAAATTCTTCTCCGACATTATCAACGTCCGCACGTACCGCAGTGCGAACATAGATTCGGACCACTACCTAGTTGCAGTATGCATGCGCTCAAAACTCTCGACGGTGCATAACACACGTCGAAGTCGAACGCCACGACCCAACATTGAGCAACTACGGGACACCGGAGTTGCCCAGGACTACGCGCAGCAGCTGGAAGTTGCACTACCCACGGAAGAGCAGCTTGGCGCAGCTTCTCTTGAAGATGGCTGGAGGGACATCCGTTCAGCCATAGGTAGTACTGCTGTAGCGGCACTAGGTACTGCAATCCCGGACCGAAGAAATGACTGGTTTGACGGCGAATGCAAACTGTTAGTAGAGGAGAAGAATGCAGCACGGGTGAGAATGCTGCAACACCGCACGAGATTGAATGTGGAGCGATACAGACAAGCGCGGAACAGACAAAACTCGGTTTTCCGAATGAAGAAGCGTCAGCAGGAAGATCGAGATCGCGAGGCGATGGAAAATCTGTACCGCGTAAACGACACACGGAAGTTCTACGAGAAGCTAAATAGTTCGCGCAAAGGCTACGTGCCGCAAGCCGATATGTGCAAGGACTTGGACGGTAACCTTCTCACGAACGAGTGTGAGGTGATTGAGAGATGGAAGCAGTACTATGACGAGCACCTCAACGGTGAAGCAGCAGAAAACGAAGGTGGCACGGCAACAGACCTTGGAGCACGCGCAGAAGACGACAGGCTACCGGCCCCTGATCTTCAAGAAGTTGAGGAGGAGATCGGTCGGCTGAAGAACAACAAAGCAACTGGTGTAGATCAACTACCAAGTGAGCTATTGAAATACGGTGGTGAAGCACTGGCTAGAGCGCTGCACTGGGTAATTGCCAAGATTTGGGAGGAGGAGATATTACCGGAGGAGTGGATGGAAGGTGTCGTATGCCCAATCTACAAAAAGGGCGACAAGTTGGATTGCTGCAACTACCGCGCGATCACACTGCTGAGCGCCGCCTACAAGGTACTCTCCCAAATTCTATGCCGCCGTCTGTCACCATATGCAAGAGAGTTCGTGGGGCAATACCAGGCGGGATTCATGGGTGCCCGCGCTACCACGGACCAAATTTTCGCGATTCGGCAGGTTCTGCAGAAATGCCGCGAATACAACGTGCCCACACATCATTTGTTCATCGATTTCAAATCCGCATACGACACAATCGATCGAGATCAGCTATGGCAGATTATGCACGAGTACGGATTTCCGGATAAACTGACGCGATTGGTCAAGGCGACGATGGATCGAGTGACGTGCGTTGTTCGAGTATCGGGGACACTCTCGAGTCCCTTTGAATCTCGAAGGGGGTTACGGCAGGGTGATGGACTTTCGTGTCTGCTGTTCAACATCGCGTTAGAAGGTGTGATCAGAAGAGCTGGGATAGACACGAGTGGCACGATATTCAGGAAGTCCATCCAGCTCCTTGGTTTCGCCGATGACATTGACATTATGGCACGGAACTTTGAGATGATGGCGGAAACGTACATCAGACTGAAGGCTGAAGCTAGACGGATTGGACTTGCCATCAACGCATCAAAGACAAAATATATGAAAGCAAGAGGTTCTAGGGAAGACAATGTTAGCCTCCCACCCCGAGTTCAGATTGACGGTGACGAAATCGAGGTGGTCGATGAGTTCGTGTATTTGGGCTCACTGGTGACCGCCGAAAATGATACCAGCAGAGAAATTCAAAGACGCATTATGGCAGGGAATCGTGCCTACTTTGGACTCCGGAGGACGCTCCGGTCGAATAAAATTCGCCGCCGCACGAAGTTGACTGTCTACAAGACGCTGATTAGACCGGTGGTCCTTTACGGCCACGAGACCTGGACTATGCTCGTGGAGGACCAACGCGCCCTTGGTGTTTTCGAACGGAAGGTGTTGCGTACCATCTACGGTGGAGTGCAGATGGATGACGGAACGTGGAGGAGGCGAATGAACCACGAATTGCACCAGCTGCTGGGAGAACCATCCATCGTCCACATTGCAAAAATTGGGCGACTACGGTGGGCTGGGCACGTCGTAAGAATGCCGCACGACGACCCAGTGAAAATGGTTCTAGAAAGCGACCCAACAGGAACAAGAAGAAGAGGCGCGCAGCGGGCAAGGTGGATCGACCAAGTAGAAGGTGACCTGCGGACCCTTCGCAGACTACGAGGCTGGCGAACTGTGGCCATGGATCGAGTAGAGTGGAGACGACTTCTTCGGACAGCAGAGGACAACAAGGCCTTAGCCTGATTGGTAAGGTAAGTAAGTATGTGAAAAGGGAAACAAGTCTTCTGTGAACAAACTTCTCTCGTTTCCCGACAACATCACAAATGATGGGACCGCGAGAGTCGAGCGACACCCACCTTCCAGTTCGTATACAAGGCATACGAAACAGCGCATTGAGATGTTTCAATGCAACGCACAATGAAAATTTCTGTCGAAACAGCAGCACGGTTTTTGAAGGATCCTTTGGCAATGTCACTGGCAAACCATGTTTTCATACAATGCCGCAATGCTGTTCAGAAAATTTGAACGTTCAACCGGAACTGAATAAAAATGAAGTACGCGGCAACATTTTGCAAAAATAAATCGAAGACGAGAGATGACAGTCGCTCAATGACAGTATAAATATTAGAACTTTTGTCATATTTTACTGTTTTGCTTGTAGCGCAATCATTTTCATTACCATAAAACTAAATGGTACCTAATGAAAAAGATTTAATTGAATCAACAATAAATTAATAAATCAAGCTTAACTATTCAAATCGACGTATTTTATTTTGTTAACAATCACTTCAATCGACGATTTGTGGCAACTGCTAGCTCACTCACAGAAACTAACAACACCAGCTAGTAGGGAAAAGATTCCCCTACCTGATGATGGTGTTTGTTTGCGTGGGTGAGTTAGCAGTTAAGACGCATCTTTTGTTGATGTGATTATTTAAAAAAAAAACAGATATGTCGATTTGAATAATTACGTTTGAAATAACAGATATCAAATATTTCGTGAAAATAATTAAAGAATTTTATCATTGAGAACAATACTCCTTTCTGGTGAAGTGAGCGAACAGAAATGTTTATTTACTTTGGTCATTTGGTTCAGCGTTTGACGGTTTGTTTGGTTCTTCTTGCTTCAGTAGTAGTGATAGTAGTAAAATTATGTTTATTTCTGTTAATTAGGATAGTACATTGATTTTCACATTTCAATTGATTAGCCTACCTGGTTCTTCATCTTTGTCTAATTTGATATTCTAATTTAATATTTGCAGCTTTCAACAAGTTTACAGAATACCCCTTTGGGGGTGTATTTTGTTTGAATTGAAAAAAAGTGAAAATCTACCTATCTATGAGTATAACTTAACCTAACGTGCTAGATCACGTATGATCTGATGATTTGATCTCAGACAGGTGTCTCTGAACCTTTCCAGGATGAATACTCTCCTAATGTCTGAATTCCAGCCAGGAGGTGCATCTAGGAATTTCTAGTCCGCGGGGGACTGTTTAGGACAATCCTAAGGATCTTGTTCTGGATCCTTTGGAGCTTGAGGTGATGGCATTTGGCGCAACTCTCCCAGATTGGCATCCCGTATTCTATTACGGGAAGGATGATTTGTTTGTAGACAACAAGCTTATTTTTCAGGGATAGAGTAGACCTCCTGTTGATGAGTGAATACAGTGATCTTAAAAAGATGTTACACTTGATTTTGGTTTTGTCAACGTGCTCCCTGAAAATCAGCTTGATGTCTAGTGTTAAGCCCAGGTAGACTACCTCTTTCGACCATTCCACCACTTCTTATTATTCACCGACGGAACAAGTCTGGGAGATTTTGAGTGAGGAAAAATGATGACCTGGGTCTGCCGCGTTGATACGGATCTTCCAGCTGTTTTCTTGCTTCAGTCTATGCGTGTCTCAACGTCTCTGAGTCGCATGTGATTGAATACTTGCGTCGCGTTGAGAGAGCAATACGATGAGACAAAAAAAAAATTGAATTTGAAACGCCCAAATTTGTTGAGAGTTTGTAGCTTGTCACGCGCATCGTTCTGGTCTTTCTTTTGTACAATTAATGTAGCACACGATGGATGTGAAAGTCATGCGGCGCTCCGTCTCACACCTCGCTGTCGCATTTGTGTACGCGTGAGATTTCCGGAAGCCTGGTCAAAATATCAGAGTGGTGAATGTCAGGCCCACGGCCTAAAGCAAGGGAATCGGCTATGCGCGTCATACGCGTGGGTAGTACCAACTAAGAAAATTTCAAATTGACCGTTAAATGCATGTTTGATGAAAAACTTACGAGTGTTAAGTCTATTTGTCTGTGTGCGTACTATTGCTCCACTTTGGTCTACAGCTATTCACTGGTTGCGATACAATCTCATCCCAGCCATCCATAGTTGAGATGGTATTGAGGCTTTTTTTAAATGAAAAATAGCCTACTAGATTAGATCAACGTTTTAACAATATAATGTCATTGAACTATATCCTGATACATTGCAGCATGCTTTTTGGATGATATATCACCTAAAATCATGCAACGAGCGAACGATGACTGTAACTGCACTTCAGGCATTCACGCCTTATCAGTATGATATTTTTAAAGATGAGCTTTTTCCTTGGTACTGTTGTTGGTATTCTTATCATTTTGTGATAAGCTGGACAACTGATAGATCCAAATGTGACTCACCTGCACATTTTTGTCTTAGTTGTCGTAACCATGCAGTTTTGTTTTGCTTTATTAACTCGAAAAATTTTGGTTATGGATTTTAACTGATTAATGCTTATCTAATCAATTATTGATATATACGGATAGTATCAGTATGTTGAAACGAGAAAGTTAAAATTGAGCTCAGTTGTAGCGATATCGTCTTGAAAGGTGGTAACAGTTGTACAAATAATATAGATAGCTGATTCTAAAAATGTTGACTCAATTTAATGGCAACCTGTCGTGTACCGTTGAGGCGGGGCAAATATTCGTCATCGCTGCCAGGCCTATTGATGATGCGGAAAGGTAGAAGTTCAATGAATTGTACAGATTGTTTATAACAATTCAATATTACTTCACAGAGTTAACATCAACTTCCAATCCGGAAAATCTGATGAGGCTGACATCATTCTTCATCTTTCCATCCGGTTCCACGATGACATAATTGTTCGGAATTCAAAAATCGAAGGAAATTGGGGTGATGAAGAACGTGACGAAAACTTGAATGAACTAACAGCTCCTAACCCGGTAACTCCAGGTTTGATGTTCAAAAGCTGCCTTTTTCGTTTCCTAGATTATTATTGATGCAACTTCACAGGAGAAATCTTCAAAATTTACATTTTGATGGGAGATGACAGATTCCATATTGCCATCAATGGGCACCCATACTGCACGTATCGATTCCGTGGTCCACTGTCGGAGATCCGCAGCATTATGTTAATGAAGGATGTTCAACAAATTGTGCAAATTGATCACCGACAAGCTTTCCCCACACCGTTCCCAGCCATTCAGTTTGACGAACCATTCAACTCGTTTACCAATGATGTACCAAAGCCGTTTTTACCAGGTGAGCAGCAGTCCAATAGCCTATATTTGTGCTTCCATTTGACCACACACCAAACATAACATACAAACCGGCATAATAATCATGTTTAACCCTTTCCAACACTACCTATAATCGCATATAAGTAACCTATGGACTTTCATCCATTTTGAGATAACAACACTATCCACTATCAATTGGCATCTATTTTCATATTACGTGATAAAACTACGAACTTTGATCATGAAAAAAACTAAAAACAACATCAAGTCAGTTTGTCCCATCAAGCAAAATAATCGCCTATCTGTCCCAACCTGAAATTCAATATTCCATATTCCAACCTGCTTTTCGAATTGCCATTTCACTGATATAACAAAAAATGCAAGCTTCATTGCAACTGATTTTAGCTTGAAAATATTTTCAATAAATTTACTATGGTTTTTCAAATATTTACGTGGGAATTACACTTCGTAACTTCGACGGTAATTTTCTCAATGCCTACTCTTTCCATAAGGGACTGATTTGCGATTATAGGCAGTATACCCCTTGATAACTCAACAGTTTTACGAACACTCTAATAGCAGATTCAGACTATAGCTGCTATCACGTAGTATAAGCTGTCTTTTCAATGTGCACTCATACGATTCTTTTTCTTTACAAATCACATATGGGTCATTCCAGCACAATTTCACCGATTTCAACCAATCTTTGCCGGGGTGACCCCGGCGTAGTGGTTTAAATCCATACCTCTCACGCCAAAGTCACAAGTTCTCACCCCCAGACAAGTCACGAATAACCCAAGAGCGTTAAAGTGACTATAATAAAAAAAACCAATCTTTGCCAAGATGCTTATTTTTATATTCTATTTAAGATAACTCATTTTTGGATTTTGTTCTTATGTGCTTGGTTCCCTCTGGACTACAACCCTCGATATTTTAGATTTTTAAAAATTATATCATTGAAAAGAGATTACTGCGCAAACAAACACCATTTTAAAGGAATTTTAATGTAAAATTTGATTGATGTATCAAAACATTTTTTTTTTAAATTAAAACTGCAGTAAAGAGACCGATTGTTGGAAGGTATCTAAATTATCCCTTTCTCTCATTGATCGGATTTAGTTATTTTTAAGACTTTGTGGTGTAGCGGTAAGCGTGATTACCTCTGACCCCAAAAGGCCTGAGTTCAATCCCATTCGGCGCCGCCTGGATGTTCTGAGGCATAATATCTCTGATCACGGGGGGAAGTAAGCCATTGGTCCCCGGTTCATGTGCGTGGCCGGCGGTCATCAAACAAACTACCCGACACTGGTTTAGATACAACTAGACATTTTACTTATATAGACCCTAGCATGCTTCTTAGACTGATGCAAAATTTGAAATTTTCGCTCCACAGTGCTCAAACGGTGTTCATTGGTGTTTTTTTCAACCTTCGGTGAAGCGGACGAGTGAAAGAGCGCTTGACTTTGATAGTTTCGTCTTTCATGAAACACATCAACACAGGTTTCATGACGTATATGACGGAAAATGAAAAGATATAGCATTACCATTTGAATTGCTACATTCTTGAATTGCTACAAAAGCTTATTCGGTTATTTTATTTACTTTTTTTTATTTTGAAATGGAGTTAGTTTTGACCCATTTGGTGCCAATTTATTATTTACTCGTACTTTATACGAATAAGAGCTTTTTCGGTTTTTATTTTTTATCAATGTTCAATGTTCTAGCCATCCGATAGTGTGGAATTTTTATTTTTGACAAAATAACTAAATCACCAGTCTATAGAAAATGTACAAACATGTCCATACAATCTAGATTCATCATTCAAGATTCCATCAGTTTCTATTAGCTGGAGTACTTTAGAATACTTGCTGATCAACCTGTAGCCACAGTTGGAGATCCTCAGAACTTCATCAACTAGAAGTCTTGAAAAAATATCCAAAGATCTTTACTAATATCTTCGTCTATCTGGAGATCTGTTGAATATTACCTGCTGTTTAGGAAGGATGTCTGAAAGAATATCCTATAACCTATGCAACGTTTCCTCAACATCTACAAAACTCCCTTAAGTTTTACAAAATTTCGTCAACTTCTACGAAGGTCACTGAACTTATTCCAAATTCCATATTTTTACATCTCTCTTATATCTACGATTACTTCTGGAAAGACCTCCATCATCTACAAATATTCTTGAATATCTGGAAAGTTCCTTGAAATTTAACGAAGTTCATTAAGGTTTTTTGAAGTAAGATCTCTGACAAACTGCAACGAAGTTCCCTAAACTGAAGCGAAAATCCCTGAAAATCTTAGAAGTTTGCTGAATTATTTTTAGATCTTCTTCAAAATTCGCTGCACTTATATGAAGTTTTATGCAGCTTCTCAAAATGCTACGAAATTCTTAAAACTTATACAATGTTTGCAGCACAACAATTTTTCGTTGATTTTTCGCGAAGTTCCACGTATGGAATTTCTTGAACTTGTAAGTAATTCCCACTTCTACGCAGTCTTCTGAATTTTTCCGAAGCTCCCTGAGTTTCTATGAATTTTTGTGAAGCTCTAAATGAAGTTCACAGAATTTCTACTAAGTTAAAGAAAAATCCCTGAACCGTTGCCAATTTTTAAAGTCTGAAGACGTCTTATGCTATTGATTAAATGTCGATATAATATAAATTCTTGACATTGTTTCTTCTAGTCTAGAACATTAAGAAAAGTAAACATTCATTAAAATCAATAAACATAAAAAAAATCGAAACTTCTTGACAAAATACCGATGTATAAAAAAAAATCCTGGGGGGGGGGGGGGGCTAAATAATTGTGGAGGGGCCCTGGTAACCCCCTGGCGTAGCTAGCCAATGATCCTCGAGCATGGAAAGCTGCTTAGGTTATCCTAATAAACGAGAAACAACGAAATCTGAATTTGAGCAATTTGAGACCAATTAGCGTTTTATCGAAGACATCATATCAATTGATTTGTTGTCTTTGGTTTTATGTAGTTTATCAAGAGCAAATGAAAAAAATCTCTAAAATCAAATTCAAGAATTCAGGTTAAAAAAAAAAATCACTGCCTTCCTAAAAGTGTAGCACTTCTTTTTTTAATAGACTTTTCAAAAGCATTTGATCGCGTGTCTCGTGGCAAGTTGGTACGAAAATTGTCTGAGCTATTTTACTTTTCTAGCTATTTGGTTCGCCAATCATATTTGTCCAACAGATCTCAGGTTGTTTCGATTAATGGGGATCCTTCTGTTAACATAGTATCTGTAGTACCATAGGGTTCCATTCTAGAACCGTTACTGTTTTTATTTTATATTAATGATTTATCGACTATGTAAAATTTTTGTTAAATACATTTGGTCGCTGATGACGTCCAAATATATTTACTACCAATATTCCTAATGGTGAGATGGAGAATCTCTTGAACGATGGTTTATAGAGAGTTCATAATTGATCCCTCCAAAATCTTCTGTTTATTACCATCGATAAAACTAAGGTTATGTTCATTTCAAGGATCACGAATCGTATCCTGTTGCCGTGTTACCGGATCTTGATTGGGACAGTAACGTATATGCTATGTATTCCAAGGTGTACAACGTTCTTCGAAATCTATAACTAACATCCAATATGCTTATATCTGATGATAAATTAAAGCTATTCAAGTCATTAGATTTACCTCATTTTCTGTTGGTGTAGAGTTTCTCTTAAATGCTTCAGCTAGAGCTTTGAATAAATTACGCGTTGCTTTAAAGAGCTGTGATATGTATTTAATTTAAATCGATATATGTAAATTTAATTTCAATCCATATTCCCGATTTAGCAACCTTCAAAAGCAATTACTCGGATGTCCATTTAATTAATTTTTCAAGCTGCGGGTTTGTTTAACTATATTTAAAACCATAAACTTTTCGTCACCTACTTATTTAATGGATAAATTGCAAGCGTTTTGAGGTTCTAGAATGATAAATTTCATAATTCCACAGTACAATACATCATATTATGGGAATACTTTATTTGTGAAGGGCATTGCTCATTTGATTTTACTTCCTACTGGCATTAAAAACAATCATCTATTCCAGCGTGCCTTCTATTCATTTTGGTTAAAACAATGTTTTATGAAATTATGGAATAATAAGATATTGAGATGATATTTGTATGTGTAAGATTGTAAAGTTTGTGTTTGACACATAAAACCTGCAAATTTAGCTTTGCCGGGGGCGACCCATTAACATAACATCCATACCTCTCACGCCAAAGTCACGAGTTCAAATCTCACCCCCGGACATGTCACGAATGACCCAAGAGGGTTAAAGTGACTATAATAAAAAAAAGCTTTGAAAGAGCTACAATGAGCGATTTTCTGATCACCTCTTCGCGAAGAGTGGGTGAGATAAATGACAAAATCGCTTATTGCGACTCTCATGTTACAATATTGGCAAGTATTATGTGTTAAACACAAACTTCAAATCTCACCAATGCCCAAGATCACGCTTGATTTGCTTAGACAAAAATAAACAAGCAAGCAACTGTGGTTGATTTTGCAAGCTGTGATATCGCAGCTCGGAATATCAAGCTAACAAAACTCACCAGCTGCAAATCTCAACAAACTGTGGTGAGATTAAGTTTCATGATTTTTGCTTTACACCCGAATGCAACCGAAACTTTCATAACAGCTGGCAGTAGTCACTTCGTGTCTGCCAACGGTGAACAGTAAAAATAGATAACAAACTATACTTTCTCCACCGACAAACCGACATGACACTTAATTCTGACTTATGCCCGAAAATCGTAAACGGCCGATTTAAATGTGCAGTGATCCGAACTGGCAAAACCATAGGATTTTTTGATCTAGATAAAAATAATTTGTCCATAATAGATCAGACACGAACCGATTCATAACTTTTGCAAGCGGGTTCATGGCTTAGCTAAATATTTCCCGCAAACACGGAGCCAGATGTCAGTAGCGTGCTTTGGTCAGAAATTTTATTGTTTTTTCTATGGTCATTCATGCCGGCATGTCGGTGCTTTCTCTATCTAAGAAAACGAGGTTCAACGAAATCATTTTTGTGTCGAATCAACGCTCAGCTTGATTTTTGCACGTTGTGAATAGTCTCGCAATATCAAAAGAGCCTGTAAAATCAATATCTAGCATGATATTTTGTTCCAATATCACGCGTGATATTGAGAGCGTATGAGAGCGGAAAAATATCATTTGATTGACGATTTTTCCAAAACTGTATCTGATTATTCCATAATTTCATAAAAAATTTATTTACCCTAAACGAATGGAAGGCACCCTGATCTATTCAGTGGATCTCGGCGAGATTGCGTCATCAATCAATACGAAACTAACGATTTTAAATTGGCTCACTACTTGACTAGCCTATTGGTCCCAAGCAAACGATTAACGTACCCCATTCTAGTTGAAATTCTAGTACTACACTATGTTTGTTTTGATTCGCTATGAAAGTTTGACAGATAAAATGGGGGGCTAGTGAATTTTCCTATGTTTCGAGGGGTGGGACCGAAGAGAGTACCAGAGCTGAGCCAAAAAGTTGAGCACGTTTCTGCGGGACCTTCTAGTCTTAGAGTTACCTCTATGATTGCGTGGCTTGGTTCAACAGAGAAATTCAACACTGGAATTATTGGTGTAAGTTATGCCGAGGATACACTTGTATGATAAACTTTGAGTATGAGCCTTATTTGTATAATAAAACTCATGTGCATGGTCACACTAGTATAGTTTTTGTATAGTTGTTGTATAGTACCTATAATTATTGTACAAATAATGCTCATGCTCCTAGTTTGTCATATAAGTGTATCCGCGGCATTAGTATAAGATTATATAAATTGTTTTTGTTTTTCATTGAATATCTATGAACATGAATTAGAATCTGGTTGTGGTAATTTAAAAGGTTTCACCATACTATACCACAATTTAAAAGTAAATAAATAAAAAAAAAATAAATAAATAACCTTCGCACAGTTACTAATTAAACTCGGTTTTATTTTATTTTTAATTTAAGGTTTAAAATGTATATGGGTTAGCATTAAGGGGTTAGGTCAGAGAAGAAGTCGAAGAAAGGATATTTTTTTTTTGCGAACAGGAACACTTTAAAAGAACGCGATTTTCAGCATTTTATTGAAAATATTTTAAATAACATTTTCCCAAATTTTGTTTTTTGAAATGTGAGGTGGCGTTGCAGTCGTCTGCGTAAAGCGGTTCACGGGCGGAAACGATTTGCAGCCGTAGGTAGTCCTAGAACAAAATTGATAAAAGTTTCATAAACTAGAATGTTTAAACTAGTGAGTACCTGGCCGATTGTAAAAATATTGACTTTTTTTTTACAAAATGGCGTGCGTTTGAAAAAAAGGAGTCTGACTTTCAGGCAAAACTATCAAATATAATCATTTATTACAAAGAAAAACTTTTAAAGATGAAGATAAAAATTCAGGTACTTCACTAGAAAAAGCTACAAAAAACCAAGTCGATTAATCAATTAGAAGTATGACTTTCGTTTCCGCCTGACTTGAAAAACATCGTTTCGAGAAAAACGCGATTAAAGGTAAATTTCATGCCGCGAGCGCGCAGGTAGTCCCCTAGTCTCCGTCCCAAAATAATGCGAAAGAAAAGTGTTCTCGGGTATAAAACCAACTGAACCTTATTCTTTCGACTCTAAACTATCATTTAAGCAAAAAAAAAAAAACAATTATTTGAACCCGCTACAGTGGCCTAGGCAAAATCACCAAAAAATCGATTTTTCAAAAGTGGTTGCATTATATTCGTATTAGTAAATACGTATTCGTAACTGATGTTCGTTGACCGAATTTTGTTCCACGCGCAAAGCGAACTGTAAAACTTGCAAAGCATTTTTCTCGAAACATATAGTTGATTTACGGATCCCCAAATTGAACCAAATTGGCTGTATTTTGAAGTAAAGACTCACAAGATTTATCTCGTGTGCATGACCAATCCGGATTAAAACATTTTTTTTTATTCAAAAAAATGACGATTTTTTATATGAAAAAAAAAAACATAAAAATATTTTTATCTCTTTTCAATCCACTTTTCAAAAATCGGCCTGCGTCATGCACATGAGATCTGTTTAACGAGTCTTCACCCCAAAAATGAGCCAATTTGGTCAAATAAGTGATGAGATATCGTGGGACCCGTTTTTTCAAACCACTAACTTCAAATAAGAATATCTCAGCAGTTTTGTTACCACATGTCTTCACATTTATTTTGTTTACAGTTGAAAATGTATACTTTGATGCACTGAAAACAAGTTTAAAAAAAAAATTAAATGTGTGCTTATACCGACCCATGATTTGTTTACCGACTTACTTACACTCTACCTTAAGTGAAGAGTAGATGATAAAAAAAAATCGCAGTAGACAGTATACTTGCAATAGTGAAAATTAAATAGTTAAGTAATTTTCAAGGCTGCAAATACTCATTATGTGTTATGATCATATTTTTCATTTGTAAGATACAAGAAGAGGTTTTTGCACATAAATCAGCGATTTTATCAATTTGAACTCAATCACTCATTCAATTAGTGATAATAGAATCGCTGATTGTGACTCTTAGAAAGCAAAGTTGACAGATTTTATAAGTCAAATACATACTTTGCAGCCTTTTCAGTTAAGTTACTAGAGAAAAAAATCATTATAACAGCTAATGATTTCATAATTAAGGTAAAACATTTATTATAGTGGAGTTAGTGGAATTAAACAACTAATAATTATGAGTTATAACAAAATGAAGTTGGATACATAAAAAAATGATTAAAACACTAAACAAATCAAATTATAAAAAAACACTAATCAATCACTAATTCAAATCTACCTTCAGAAAACCTAAATTGTCACACCATTTATCATATGTCACTCGAATATGAGAATAATTATAATAATTCCTTTATCAAATTCGTAGGACACGTCATCGTTATCACTGCCATTCCATTTGGAAATCCACGGGGCCGGTTCATCATCCGATTCACTGAGAATGGTTCTAAACGGCAAGCACTGCACTTTAATCCACGCTTCGATCCGAGTTACGTCGTTGTCCGCAACTCTCACACTGAGTTACTAGAGTAGGGTTTCAATAGTTTTGATAATTTTGTGAAGTTTCCTAATCAACGTTCTATTTGTAGGTTCCGTCGGGAAGAGGAGATCAGTGGAGGTTTCCCTTTCGTACTAGATCAGCAATTTAAGTTTGCGATTGGACTCACCGAGAACGAGTTCAAGTTCGCAGTTAATGGCAGTTATTTCGAATCATATGCATTCCGCAACGTAAATCAGTTGGACGTGTTGAATGGATTCAAAGTTCAGTGCGTCAATGGAATGCAACTGGAAATCACCAATGTGGATCACATGAACATGGGAGTTCCGGACTGTGAAGGATTCGAAAGCTACTCACACCCGGAAGTGGAAATTTTCTAACGGGCAACTAATAGCAAATTCATGGATAATAGTCGTTTGAGTATTGAGAAATAGAAACTATATGAACTGAAGTACTTACTGGTGTTGTATTCTTTATAAAACTTTATATTCAATTCTCGAGGAAGCTGTGTCTTCAACGGCGGTGTAGAACCAACTGCTACACTTTGCTTTATGTTTGTTTTTGGCAAGTGAAACAATTTATTGATTTTTATTATGCTTCATGCGAACGCGCCAGAATGTCTGGAGCAAGAGAATAAATGATGTGAGGCAAGCTGGTTTACAAAATATACGACAAATGCTTGGCTGAGACGTGGGTATCAAGAAGAACATGCAAATTCCAGATAAACATGTGAGAAAAATATATATCTCGATTTACAGTGGTTTTGTAGTCAGAATAAAATGTTTAGACTGACCGGGTCTTGAATTTGTGTGAGAGAGATTTTGAGTAACTTTAATCAAAAGCGATTAAGTTAGATAAGCATGTGTCTATATGCATACTAAGTATAAATCTTTATGCAAAGATAAAGTCTTTATGCAAAGATGAAAATAGATGTTTATTAATCAAATCAAAGTCGATGTTCTTGCAGAAACAAATGACGACTCTAATCAGAAACTATTGATCAACTCTAATAGGGAATTTATCGCTTTTTTCCAAATCTAAAATAATATACGGCGGTAACTTTTTCATAAAATCTGTCAAAAAGCAGGCAAAACGTTGATACACCCTGATAGAATGTGTCACTAAACCACAGAGAACAGACGTTGAGGCTCAAACTAAATTTCTGTAAAAACTTGTGTAAAGATTCCTATTAGATTTAAGCGCCACCAACGCCGACTTCCCCACTTAAAAACCCTCTCTGACAGCATGATGGCGCTGGCGTTGCACACCTTACACTAGACACTAAGACACTTTAACCAACGCAATGTTGACTTTATTTCTGATATGAACAATGAAAGCATCTTACTTCCAGTCGTTGAGGAAAATGAAACCCTCCATTTCATTTTTGACAAAATTGCAAATTTAGGACTTAATGAAATTAACCATATGAAACATCAACAAAATTGTTATTTAAACCTTTTATTAACAAATACTAAAAAAAAAAGATTTCTGGGTGACTGAATCGTTCGTCCCATATGGAGAAATGAAATGTTTCACACAGCAATAGAATATTCTTTATTCGTTCACATAAATAAATGAACCAACGACTGCGAGTTTGATGAAATCTTTGATTATAATTCAGCAAATTATGATAACATCAGAAATAGATTGAACATTGTCGATTGGAAAGCAATATTAAGAACTGTAGGAAATGTTGAATGTGCAGTTGACGTATTCTACAATGTGTTGCTTGAAATAATACTTGAAGAAACATATGGCATTTGAGGAGTATAATTTAAAAACTGAACTTGAAATTAAATCTTGTCCTAGGAACTTCTTCAATTATGTGAAAACCAAATTAAAATCTGATAACTTTCCATCAAAAATGCATTTGGACGATAGGGTAGGTGAGAACTCGTATGATATATGCAATTTGTTTGCAAATTTCTTCCAAGAAATCTGTCCACGCACTGGGATCCTCTTCGATGAGCTCCAATGCCTGGCAATGCCTGAGCGAACTATCCGGAAATGGTCACTGGTTCAGGGATTTTGGTTACAGAAAGGTAAACTCTTTTAGTCTTGAAAAAGACTGATTGATTGTCTGTGTGGTTGAAATGAACTCGCGGCTCTTGAAATTAGTTGTATATTGAACGGGATAACGTGATTCGTATAATGGTTGGAGTTGTACTGATGTAGGTGAAATTTGGTGCCGGTACTTTTATACCTACCGACTCGATCGAGAGTGATCGAGCCGGGAGGATATTCCTACGTGATGTCGCTGTTTGTATTTCCACTGTGTGGAGTGTAGAGCGAAATACGTGCGGCGTGTAAAGCCTTGAAATTGAGCGATTGGCTTGCCTCGGCGTGCAACGAACCGTTTCAACGTTGCAATGAAGGCTTCGGAGCTGAGATCGCCAACCAATTCGAGGTGTACGGCCTTCGTAGCCATACAGACGAATACAGCGACGTATGCTCGGATCGGTGGAGCTGGTTTCGTTCGACGTACTGGTACCTTCAGCCAAACTGGACCACAGAAGTCAATGCCCGTGTTGAGGAACGCACGGGTCGGATTGATGCGAGCTTTCGGAAGTTGGCCCATCAGCTGGTGTTCTGCTTGTGGTCGTGTGCTGTAACAACGCAAGCAGGATTTGACGTGTCTCCGTGCCAGGTTACGGAGGTTTAATGGCCAATATTGTTCACAGATGTGTGCGATCATCGCACACGGACCAGCGTGGAGAAGCTGCTTGTGCACCGAATCAACGAGCAGAGAGGTGAATGGATGCGCTGCAGGCAAAAGCATTGGATGCTTGCGCGTGAACGAGTATGAAGAGTGGTTCAGCCGGCCACCGACCAGAAGTACATCATCGTGGATGAAGGGATTCAAGGTACGTAATGGGGATTTCTTGAGATCTGCTTCGCATCTGGCCAGCAGCATAGCGATTTCTTGGCTGAAACACTCATTTTGCACAACTTTCACAAGGCCTTCTTGTGCTTCAAGTAGTTCTGCTGAGGTAAGGTACGGAATGGCTTGTAGGTGGAATCCAGCGAGCTTGGCCCGACAGTACCGCACAAATCTGCAGCAATATGCAGCGATGCGGGTGAGTCTCGTTAGTGACGAGTAGCGGGTGAACAGTGTGCGGTTGGGAGCTTCGGTGGATCGAGTGACGGCTGCAAGCGTACGAAACTTCACCTCGAGAACTTTGGGAGGAAATTCACAGGCGTCTTGGACTGGAAACATACTTGGCCACTCCGCTGGATTGAACGTTTACCACGGTGGACCCTTCCACCATAGTGCGTTGTTGACAAGCTCGCAGGGATCGACACCCCTCGAGATGAGATCGGCCGGATTCTCCAGACCGGCGACGTGATTCCAAGTGCTTCCTTCAGTGAGTCGCTGCACCTCCGTGATACGGTTTGCCACGAAAGTGTTGTAGTTGGATCGGTGGGTTGTACAGCCAGTGGAGAGTGATTGAAGAGTCAGACCAAAAATAAGCATTAGCATTGATATTGAGGCTCAACATAACGGTTTGGAACAGTTGGCTGAGGAGGACAGCAGAGCAGAGCTCTAGACGGGGAATTGATAAGGTTTGGATAGGAGTTACTCGGGATTTGGCGGTTAGGAGACGGGTTGTGACGACATCACTTCTTCCGACACTTCTCAAGTAGATGCATGCTCCGTAAGCATTTTGGGATGCATCGCAAAACCCATGAAGTTGCACGTTGTCTTCGGCGCCTGGACCTTTGACCAAACGAGAGATGGAAAATGTTCCTAGAGCAGCCAGACCAAGTCTGTAGTCTTCCCACACGGTACAGAGTGAATTGGGAAGCTCCTCGTCCCAACTTAGTTTCAACTTCCAAAGTTGTTGGACAAACACTTTGGCTGTGATAACCACCGGACCAAAGATGCCCAATGGATCAAAGAGTTTGGACATCTCGGAGACCACGATTCGTTTCGTGATCGGATTATCAGAGAATCGCTCAGGAACTTTGAACCGGAAGGTATCCGATTCAGGGTGCCACAGCAGACCGAGTGTGCTGACGGAGCCTTGGATGTCATCAACTGCTACAATCGGCCTATCATCCTTCAGGTTGTCCGGGATGTGTGACAACACTTCGGACGAATTCGACGACCACTTTCAAAGTTCGAACCCTGCGGACGCGAGGATGCCCTGCACTCCAGAACGCAGCTGCGTTGCTTCTTGCACAGTGTCAACACCGCTCAGGAAATCGTCCACGTAGAAATCCTTGCCTATTCGGGCTGCAGCATCGGTTTCGCTCGCCGAGTGATCGTAGGACAATTGCTGTAGACACCGAGTAGCTAGATACGGCGCACATGGGGTGCCGTATGTTACCGTGGTCAGGCGTACAACGAATCGACCTGATTCGTCGCGGGTGGTGGTTTCGGAAAAGTACATCTCGCAAGCTAATTCCTCCTTAGACAGTTCACGGCTTTGAGGGCAACTCTCGACTTCTAGAATCGAGGCAGTTGTTGGTTTAAGTCATCGGTGGTACACAACAGAGCGACTCGCTCAGAGCCTTGGGTAGAGGAATTGATGGCGACAGGTCCACTTACTACCCATCCGAGCACGGTACGTTGTTGAACAGGCTGGTGTTCAGAAGGACCAGCATTTACTGATAACCATATCGATCCTTTGAGGCGAAGCAAAATCTGGATCTGCCAAGACTAACTCAGGAGAGAGGTTCCATTGCGAAATGTCAACTGCCCGGGAAGGCAGATCGTTGGTGATCTTGGAGAGGATGCTGACCGTCAGTGTGTTATAGTAGGTGGAATTAACAGAACTGAAATCTGCTACGGTGCAGTAGGTACTGTTGACAGTAGAGCCACCCATTCCAGCGATAATTGCAGCTTGCTTTCGTCGGTTCAATCCCAAAAGCTGAACGATTCTTTCGGTGATGAAGTTTAACTCGGAGCAGGAGTCCAACAGGGTTCGAACAAAAGTAGATCTCCCCGACGGGCCGTGGACCTTTATCACGGCGGTGGATAACAGAACAGTCGAGTAGGTGGTGGTGGAAGAGCTTGCTGCAGCTAATGCGTTGGTGAGAGATTGGTGGGTGGCGGACGAGGTGATTGGTGATGGTGGAATTGGAGTGGACAACGATGCCGGAACAACGGCTCCGCTTCCTGTGTAGGTGGTAGATTGTAGATTTCCAGTAGGTGGTTTGACTTGGGGTTGGGTGTAACGATCGTTGGGGGAGGAAAAATGCAAAAGTGTGTGGTGTTTTTCGTTGCACTTCCGACAGGGTTTGGAGGAGCAGTCACGGCTGAGATGACTCGATGATAAGCAATTCCAGCATAGCTTCTTCTTGCGGACGGTGTCTTGCTTCTGTTCGATTGACATCCGTTTGAACACCTCGCAATCGTAAATCCGATGCGGTTGGTTGCACACCATACAGCTGAAAGATTTTGGTAGGTATGATTTTGCAACGGATGCGGTGTGAGCTACAGAGAAACGGGGTTTATCTTTTGGAGGGGAGGGTACCAGGATTCCACTGTTCAAAGACATCAAGATCCAAGCTTGATCTTTCAAAAAGGTAATCAGCTCGTCATACGTAGGAACCTTCTCTTTATCGTTACCTGTTGACCGTTCCCATTCCCTCAAAGTGCTTTGATTCAAGCGACTGCACACCATGTGCACGAGCAGGGAGCTCCATTGCTCTATCTGCTCCCCTAACGTTGTTAGGGGAGCACAGCCAAGCACAATATGGTAGCAGAAGATTCCTTTTTCACAGGCTCAAAGCAAGGTTGCAAAGACTCATTTCAGCTAAAACAATGTTTTTCTAAATTATGAAATAATTAGATGTCATGATCAAATTTTGAATTGGTAGGATACAAGAAGAGGTTGCAAAGAATGTGTTTGACGTATTAAACCTGTTTATTTCACTTCATGAGAGTCACAATCAGCGATTTTTCACAAACTCACTCACTCACTCACTCACTCACTCAGCGATCAGCAAATCGCTGATTGTGACTCATAGAAAGCAAAATTTACAGGTTTTATGTTTCCAACGCATACTTTGTAACCTCTTCTTGTAAGTTACAAGTAAAACATGCCATCATACCATCTTTTGGTTTTATTATTCCGAAAAACATTATTTTAGCTGAAATGAGTCTTTGCAACCTTGGCTCAAAGGCGAAAAGAGAGTTAATGTGGTTTTTAATTAGCAAGCGCTTGTTATCGAAGCGACTGACCAGTAAATCCCAAGCGATCCTGTAATTATCTCCCGTAATGCTAGTCGTATCAAGGAGTTGCTTAACGGGTTCCTTGAGTGCTGCCATCAAGTAATGGAATTTATCTACAGCAGCCAAACCCTTATTGTTGTGGATTAAGCTGCGATAAGCATCATAAAATGGGATCCAATTATCTATCTCGCCATCAAAAATTGGCAAATCAATTTTTGGCAAGCGTACTACAGATGTACTGGTCTAAGAGGTATTAGCAGCAACATGGCGGTTCACTTTATTTGCGGTGAGGAAGTCATGCAACTGGTAGTACTTGTTCTCCATTTCATTGCGGCTCTTCATAAAGGTAGCCTTTGTTTCACCCATTAGCAATTCCAACTCAATTGAAGCGTTAGTAAATCGATCATATAATAAATCTAGCCTACTCAATCTAGAATCGATCTTATCTCGATCGACCTCGGCATCATAATTATTGACGAAGTTCTCGATAGTCTGTATTGCGTCCGTAATGACGCTCACTGCCTTTGACCGTTCCCGAAGTGACGTCATATCGCCTGCTGAGACCGTCACGTGAAAGACAGACCACCAATTACCACCACAACCCAAGTCAAATTCTTAAAAATCGATGCCAGTCCACTCCTCCACTCAAAAATCCGAAAAACTTGCTTACTCTACGAGAGTACTCACCAGTCGACACGCCAACCCAAGCACCCAACTCACAATCGATGGCGCAGGTTCTGACGCCCAAACCGGGAAACGTGATGGCACAGGTTCTGTCGCCCAAACCTGGAAACGTGATGGCACAGGTTTTGACGACCAAACCTCGGAAGTCGAGGTGTGGGTTTTGTCGATCAAACCCACGAAATGAATCCAATCACTAACGCTTTTGCGCGTTCAAATGCGCTTTCTTTTATTGTCCACTTTTCTTGGTTTTTTACGGAGTTTTCCACAGTCTCCGAATTCCGATTGTTTTGACGTAGAAGTCTTTGTCGACTATACTGGAGTGCAAATCAAAAAATATGTGTGGTGAAGTAGTGTTAGGTTTTGAACGCTTGTAACTTTGTCATTTATAGATGAAATTAAAATCCAAATTCACCAATTGATAGGATATTCCTTAACGAATCTGCTAAAATAAATACTTTTTCAATTTTTAATCAAAAAAATTTTGAAAAATGCACAAATGCAAATAACAGTCATCATAAACGAATACCAATTGGTTGCACATCATTCTGCTTGAACCTGAAAAGATATAAAACAGTGCTGCTGTCGTGCCTCTGCTCATTACCGCTTCGGACGGCGTGGCACTTGGTCCTGCAGCAAGCAGGACCAAGTCAGCGGATAAAAGGTGGATCACGGCGTGAACACCAAATTGGAAAATATGTGTGTACACCCCCACCCCCCTTAACAACGACAACCCATAAAAGACATGGTCTTTGACGATCACTTTTTCCGGGAAATAAATTTTAAGCAAAACCACAATTATTAATATGTATAAACAAAAGTCCGCAACAAAATTTTCAAATTTCAGACAAAAAATCAATTTATATGCGATGATATTATGTTGGTGAATTACCCACAACTGACAGTAAAACATATCAGGTACCTCTATATATTCAATTAGATTATGTATTATCCAAAGTCCATCCATTTTTACATATTCTGCACAAAAGAAACTTTCTGCCCCGCTCCATTCATAAAAAATGGCGGGAAATCCTGTCAGTTGCGGGGCTTTGAAAGTATGTATTGTGCAGAATATGTAAAAAAAGGAGGGACTTCGGATGTTTTTTTTTTTTTTTTTTTCATTTGGTTTGTTTTTTTTTTTGTCAATCTTGTTTTCCGTGCTGAGCACCAATGCTACCGACGTGCCAGGAAGGCAGCTCCCACACCTGGACCCTACCTATCGACCCATCAACTCATGAACCGGGGACCAACGGGTTTACTTCCCTTCCGAAGGAAGGCGTGATCAGAGAGGTTATGCCTCAGAACATCCCGGCGGCGCCGACTGGGATTGAACCCAGGCCTGTTGGGGTGAGAGG